CCAAAATCTTTTATTTATTACACCAACGACTTCATGTCTTTTGGTTACATTTTTATACTCCGGAGTTCAGTTTATGGTCTGTGAATTTCATTTCCTAACGACTGATGATACATTTATTAGCAATGTCACCCGGCGTCATTCGTTGATACCTATCCTAAGACACCATCAAGTGAGCTGCAATAGCCAAGATTTCTCAGCAGAACTGGCTTAAGCAGTCTTGAACTTGTAGTGCACCTTGAATGTTTGAACTTTTGTTTTAACGCATTCATGTACTATGGCGCCACTTCATCTTGGTTCTTCTAGTGTGAATGCTTGCATGTGTCTCGCTCCCTCGTTGTGCTGTCATTAGGTGTACTCTTTGATCTTGCCAGCCTCAGCCACTTAACAGATAAGTTGTACACTATTGCTACATATTAATTTTGGTTTTTCACTTATTATATATAAATATAATTCTCACCAGGGCGCACTACCAAGTCATCAGTCTTTTTATTTCGAGTTCGTTAATCGGTACTTATACGTGAGGTAGAGTATTGATCAGGGTTGACGGAGGGAAGCAAGTTTAGTAGGTGCTGACGTTAAGGACTATCTAGAGGTTGACATCGGCACTTACAAATTCGTCGGAGTTTGGCATGCTTCTATTCAAGTTTTGTCATAGAGAGAGAAATTGCAAACAGAACCATGTATTTTTTCAACAGTTTCAGAAGTTAGTCTTTATTTTTCGTTTTAATGTATTATTGTATCACTCAGGTACTTCAAACGCATCCAAAGACTTCAGACAACTATATTAATTATGATAATTTTCAGTTGATTACTATACAGTCCGAATGTCACTAAATTTTCCGTGTTAAGCTATCATTCTAACCGTAGACGGGAAACAGTATTATCATTTATAGTTACATAAGAACTCAACTGAGCTCAAGCTACAAAAATATCCAATCAGCAAATATACTTCCCTCCGTGAACAATTTTATCTTGGCACATTAATTAATCAAGTTACTTAATAAAAGCCAATAAATTATTGTGTTATAACTTTTCATTCAAAAAATAGACAAAATATTTTCAGATATTCAGTTGATGAATCGAACTAATTAAATTCTAAGGCAATGATGATTTCTTTTTTCCAGTCTGTCGAAGAACACATTGGAAGGAAAGACCACTTCTAATGGTTGAAATGTTTGCAATCCTGGTAAATAACGTTTATAATTCTGATTCTCTTCCTCGTGTTTCTGTTCGTTGTTGAGTAAGTAGGCATTTGACTGGAAATGCTGGAGATCTATTGCCAAGCCTGGAGGAAACATTGTCATTAACCAACCATAGACTGTTCTGATACCTCCATACTATAAAATGTCTACCCGACAGAGATTACGCTGTGACACAATTTTATTATTGTCTGAATGATTATCTTGATTCCAAACCGTATTTTCGGTACAAGTATGGAATTTTCAGCATGTGATATTGGTAACTCAAATTTTGCATGCCGACCATTTATATCAGGTGTGCGTCGGCAGGGAATCGAATCCCGGACCATGTGCATGAGAGGCGATAGTCCTAACCGCTGTGCCACTAATGCACATTAATAATCTTAATGGCCAGACAACTTTACAACATAAATGAACTCATTTTACTTCATGTTTTTCTTGTTCTTCGACTTCATTACTATAGTCTATACCGTTCTATTCTTTTATAAGGATTATTAGAAAATCTGTCGACTTTGGATGTCAATCATTACATCTGTAGTGGAACTGACCAACCTATCTTAACATCAAATACATAATTTTCGTTTCGTCTTTTCTTTGCATATTTGTTTCTTAATTGTATCATATTTCCTTCCCCCACCCCTTATGAGCACTGTTGTTAACTTGACTATTGTTCAATTTAAATTTTAGCTGAGCTTTAGTCAACCCTGTCAGCTAGATTACCTCACTCAACCTGCTTATTTAATTTAATTTTAGTTTCTAACCCATTATTGAAATCTGTTACCTAAAATTTACAATTCTAATGACAAATATTTGAAATATTCACCTTGTTGCTAGGACAATTCACTACATATATGCGATTGTACAGCTTGAAAATGACATCACTGAAAACAGTCATTATTCGCTGAACGCTTTTTCTTCCATATCTAGACCTCCGTTTGCAGGTCTACCTACTAAGGTTAAAGCATTTTCATAGTGTTACCAGTCACTGCATCAACATTCAAAATATTGCCAACTGATACAAAATGAATGAAAAAAAAATATTAGTCAATGAAATGATATGAGTAACAAAGTACGCTTTCCTTTTCCTTTTGCCATTACTTTTACAGTTAACTTTAGTTAGCGATATGCTCAAAAAAGGGGTTAAAGAGCAGAAAGATCGATAGATGTGTATATAGATATACTTGTTACTGACTTATCATTTATTTTTCTCTCCAATTCTTCTGTTTACAAATAAGTTAAGTCAGGTTTTTGTACACGAATCTGCATGTACAATGCTAACCAGTATAATTGTTTCCTGTCCTATAAAATGAATAAAATTATTCACTGTTAAGTAGTAGGTGAACAACAATAATGATGGCGTCTAGTGTATTTGGTGAAGAAGCAAGAATATCCCTCGGAAGATTTGTCGCCTAGTTAATTAATACATGATACATCAGTGGACAAAATATTTTCACAACATTGTGAATATGTAACCCTAGTTACTTTAAGAAAGTGTCAGCTCAATATTTAAAACAAAAAACTGTTTGCTTATAGGATTCCATCATGGCTTAATGGTCTACTAGCCAGCTCGCGTTGTAACCAGAAGGTCATGGAATCGAACCCCGGTGGATGCGTACTGTAAAGAGTCCCAGACTAGAACGAAACAGCTATCCAGTAATCCATGTGGGTTTTCCAATGGTTCTCTAACCGATGTCGGCTCATGGTGAAATCCTGTAACCAATCAATCAAATCCCTAAAAACCAATACCTGAAAAAAACTGTTTATTCCAAATGTCAAGTAGGGCTCTGCTTAAGTGATCTCTGACTTTTATGTAATAATATCAAAAAATTGTTATTGAGACACCTCAAAGACATACTGTTCAGTAAAACCCTCTTTCATCTTAATATACATATAGTAGTTGATTTGAGACAGCCTGTTATTTACTGGAGCTAACGAAGCTTTTATAGCATTATGACTCACTTGTTCACATAACTTAATATTGAATGAGCAGATGCTTGAAATAAAATATCGGAGCTAACTTCGCTTAGTTGAACACATCAAAAATGGTTACTTCTAGACTCTCTACTATTCGCACCAGTGTTTACAACAGAAATAATAAGTACAACAGCAACAACTATGTCGATATAAAAGACCAAATCCTTAGAGATTCTCTATCTAATTGTGTCTATAAAATAAAATGCTCGGAATGTGATGCGATATACATCGGACAAACATCTCGAGAAGTCAATATTAGAAGAAATGAACACAGCAAAGCATCTGTTCGACCACCGAGAAATCTAGTTGGACTAGAAAAGCGTGAAAAATCACATTATGCTGTAGAATCAGGTCATAAAACTGATTTTGACAATATTGTAATCATCATCCAGAAAAAACACTTCAGAAATCACAAAAAACGTCGAATATCAGAAGCACTTCATATCAAATGGAATCGGAATGGTCTGAAAAGGGATGATGGACTAAAACAGAATTTGACCTGGTCACAACACCTCCCTCCCCATGAAGTGACATAATCAACACGAATGTGATAAGCGACTTCATTGTGTAAACAGACGCTGCTTTCATAGTTTTATACACTTATCAAATCCAATAATCTACACCTGGTCTTGTTATCTTTACCAATTGGCCAATTTGACAACGGAAAAGTGACCCCATGATGAGGAACTATGATTAAGTTGTTATATATAGGCTGAGTGGATTTTGTAAATTCTGGTTTAATAACACTACTTTGATAAAGCTATTTAGCATTAATTAGTGAAATGTTAGTAGAAACAATATCGTTTTGTTTTTCATTCATTGGGAAATACAAAACACCTTTACTATAATGAATATCATTTATCCAATGTCCAGGTTTTTAAACTGTTAAAAGTGAACTTGGTTTGGACATATATAAGAAATAGGATGACCTTCATTTGAAAAAACAAAATATATATATAACCAGAAGCATATATATATACATAACTAAATTTTGATTCGGAAAAACACCTCAATCTGACCTCCTAAAACGGAATGAGATTACATTACATTAAATTCTTATGACTGAGTCAGATTCTCAGTTGAAACTTTCTGAAGATTGTCATAATAGTTCTAAATTTACGGATCTACAACTTCTCCTGAGATTTAGGCACCTTTAAGAAGCAGAAATCTAAGACTGTCTGAATCATCATAATGGTGAGGGACGTTATCATCCTTTACTCATTCAAATTCGATGAAACATCACCTACTTTAATGATTGTGATCAGTGTTTGACGTAAAGAATGACTATCTTCATTCAACCGTTGTAGATGATTAGTACATTAGCTATCGTAATGGTCGTTACTTAAACGAGCAGGTTGGTGCTACTTACTTCGCCTTCTCAAGAGAGGTATATGTTGGAACATCTTTAAGTATGTGCAGAAATTACTGTGCTAAAATATATTGAAATTTTTGTCTGAGATACAGTGGCGATGAAATAAGAACGTGGCTTAAATTTATAAATTGCCTGACATAAGCGTATCCGATCTGTTTTGTTCATTTCATTTGCTTAAAGTAGTATAAATATGAATATATTACTTGCAATTGCTATTTACTGAAGCCCTATGTTCCACTCGGAACTCAATGGAATAATAACAATAATAGTAACGAGTACTGTTCAACAAGCGGAAAAAGATAACTGTTAGAACCAAACAAAACATGAAAATACTTTGCATAATACTCTTAACTAATTACCAAAAGAATATTTCAGTAGACTTACTGTAAAAAAACAAGCAAACAAATATCTCAGGTAGAATATGGAGGAGAAATAAAAACGTAAACAGTAATTACCGATAGAAGTAATTAACAATTTTGAAAGTAGTTAAGCATTTACATCGAAATATTTCGGGTAAATATAGTGACTTAGATAAATTCTGATTGGTGGATAATTTGTGAATTAGCTGAATGTTGAATAAATTTACCCGCCTATAATAAAACGAACAAATAATTAAATGTATATGTCAACACATTGTACGCAACGATTCGTTAAATTCAACAAATAAATGTACATTTCAGTTTTAGAATTTTTTTATTCTTATCTATATTTATCTTGTGATGTAATCAAAACGAGTTATATAGGAATTCATCATGCGTTTATACAGAATTAAATAGTAGTGGAGATATGCGGATGATACATTCGGCGTGTTGAAATCTGAACTTATTCCTCAATTTCTCACACATATAAACTCAGGAGTAGACAGAATCCAATTCACTTCTGAGTTAGAAAACTAATAGGATGAGTTGGCCATGCTAGATTGTAGAATAAAATGAAAACAAGACGGTAGGTTAGATACTAGCATTCATAGGGAACCAACACACTCTAATAAATACTTAGACTTTAATTCATCCCATCCAGAATCGGGGAAGATTCTTATTATTCCTTTATGTTCCCAATGGAACATAGGGCTTCAAGCTAGACGCTTGAAGTTTCAGTAGCAGTGATATTTATTTTTACGGGATGGGATTGCTAGCCTCACGCTCAACCTTTCCTCTTCACCAGTCTTATTACTGGCTTAGTGAGGTAAGGAATGCGTTGGCCGGTGACGGAGCCCTCAACCACCTGCATGGTTGTCGAGCATTCTACCACTGTGCCACTGAAGTACTTTGGTAAAGATAGGTTTGGTTAATTGTCTTTACAATCTGGCTAAGAGCCTAACTAGTGGGCCAGAAGATCTAAATAATGAAATCAAACAAACAGAGGAAGTATTACCAGTGAATAACCACCCACCAGAATTTATACGGAAATAAATGAAGAACCATAGTAAAACTAAGACTGGCAATAAAAGTGATTAAATAAACGAAAGTAATATGAAATTCAAAGCCTCCGTGGCACTTCCGTATAAAGAAGAGAAATCAGGGGCCTTACGTAGAATTCTCAGTGACTCTGGAATTAGGGTGGCATTTAAGCCAGCCAACTCTCTCAGGAGTGGCTGACGTACTCCTTTACCTCGTTAACCCAGTAATAGGACTGGTAAAGAGGGAACGTTGGGCATGAGGTTAGCAACCCCATCCCCCTCTAGCTTGAAGCGCTATGTTCCACCTGGAACATAAAGGAATAAAAAAACTCTCTCAGATATCAACTGTGTCGGCTTTAGGACCCAATATATCTGTGATGATACTAACGATGAAATTGTTCAAAATAATCATAATATAACGTATGGTACTTTGAGTAGTGATTCAAGTATTCATTATGATGATACTGTAGAAGTGAAGAAGTTAAATTCATTATCATCAGCAGCATTATCATCATCTCGAAGTGCAAGTCTGGATGATCGTGCATCATAATATCCAGCTGTTAAAAATAGTATAATTTACCAAATACCATGTAATGACTGTGAGGTCATTTACGTAGGTCAAACTAGTAGATGAGGGCCAACTAGATTATTGGAACATAAAAATTTTGCTAGACCTAGAATAATTGACCCTGCTAAGTTAAACAACCTAGAAAAAAAACTCAGCAATTGCAGTGCATTCACTTGCATGTAATCACACATTATATTGTGTCGGAAGGGATAAGAGCATTGAAAAGCAATATAGTTAGGTGGAGAGAAAGGGAAGTTAATCACTAAAGCTATTTTTATCGATTTGGCACCTCGGATGTGCAGTTGGAATGAAGCAACGCCATCTATACCTCAGATATGGAAAGTGGCAACAAATAACAAAAGGAAGCTGGAGAGACAGAAAAAAAGAAACTATATATAAGACAAACTGTGGGAACGTGTGACTAAACTGATATGATTGTGAGTTGCAATCTATGCTGGAGACGTCATCTAATTGTTAATACTGCATCATTGTGTGATTATTGAAACAAACTTATCTAATATGGAATTACATTCTATCACAGTGCCCAAGTTCTACGCTTGCATTACAGAATTAAACATCTCCATGGAATCGTTAAAAAACAGACTTCAACGGAGGACATACATGTTTCAGATGCTGTGTATCATTGTCAGGGTGTCTGACATTTAAACATAATTTGACTTCGCAATTAATTTTTATGAGTTGATCACAGATTGACATCAGTTAGAGAACTATTGAAAAGCAGCCACAGGGAGTACTGGACAGCTGTTTCATCCTAGTTTCGGAATCATCGGCAGTAGTCACCCACTAAGTTCGAACCCATGACCCTCCGGTTACAAGGCAAGCTCGTACACAATTCAGCCACTGGGACCCGATTCAATGGCCAGCCAGTGCATGAATTCTAACTTCTACCAATTGGTGATTTAGCGCGACCACCAACCCATGTTATCGGTGGGACATTGAATCGGGTTCCAGTGGCTGAATGGTATGCGACCTTGCCTTATAACCGGAAGGTCCTGGGTTCGAACCCAGTGGGTGTGTACTGCCGATGATTCCCAAACTAGGCTGATGAAATAACTGTCCAGTACTCCAGTGCTGGTTTTCAATGGTTCTCTAACTGATATCAATCCGTGATCAACTCATAAAAAGAAAACTAATCCTTACAAACCAACCGTAGAAAATTTACAATTACTGATAAGTAGTGATTTGTAAAATCATCATTTAATCATTCTGGAAGATATATGGCGTATTCACTAAACGGAGCATCTTTGAGAGCAGCCACTGCATACAATCCTACTGAAGCACACTATCAGATAAACATTATGCCATTGGGTTGTCTCAAACAACGTTTTCTTTGAATGTTTTTCAGACCCTTTCAATCACTGAATATATAAAATGCATTATACTTAGAGGGGTCAGACATTGGAATTTAATAGACTGTCAGTGTGACATAAACTTTTTACAAATAAATCTTCGAAATAAATTATCATCTTTTCTTCCAAGTATTGGTTTTGTAGGGATTTTGTTTGATTAGGAGAAGGATTTCATCATGAGCTGACATCAGTTAGAGAACCATTGGAAAACCTGAGATTACTGGTGCGTATTGATGGAGAGTCCCAAACTGGGACGAAACGGCTGTCCAGTACTCCCTGCAGGTTTTCTAGTGGTTCTCTTACTGATGTCAGCTCATAATGAAATCCTCTATCATCTTTTTTATGGAGTTCAAGGAAATGGAACTTTTTAGCGGAATTGTGTTGATGAGAGCTAACAATATAGCAATACATGTACATGTCCTCTACTTCGGAATGTACTTATTTGACGTAAGCAGAAAACAGTCGGCAAGCAAAATTAGAACAACAATGAGATCGTAAAAAAAAGGAAATATATTTCTGGATTGGTACTGTTTATCAGGGATGTGCGCTTAACTAACTAGGAGTCGTACACTAACAACTCAACATAACATGACAGCATTACGAATGGCGTGGGTACTTCAGTTTAACTGGTCCACCTAAACAACAAAGTCGGGTACCCAATATTGAAAGATGATGACAGTCGTAAGCCAGTAGTTTTGCCGCTACAAATTGCGTTTTATTATACTCCTAGTTTGTATATTTCAAACTTTAAAAGATACTACGCAGTTAATGGATGCAATGTCAGAGAATTACAAGTAAATTAAGGTATGGAAGCTTGTCTGATAATATACGTGATCATCCATGAATTCGTTGACATATACTGCTGGTTTTTCGCAATGTCAAGTGGGAACACGCAATATCTATCTTCACTTATCATCTCTATTTTAAATAATGTAGTTTGAGAGGGATTTTATAAGAAAATTAGACTTCATCATGAGCTGACATCGGTTAAAGAACCATTGGGAAACTGGGAGTACTGGACAGCTGTTTCGTCTCACTTTGGGAGCCTTCGCCAGTACGCACTTACCCAACATGGTTCGAACCCAGGACACTCTGGTTGCGAGGCGAGTTCGTAGACCATAAGGCCACTGCGACACGATCCAATAGCCAGTCCACAAATTCCAGCTTCTAACAATTCACGTCAAAGTGCGATCACTAGCCAATGTCTTCGGCGAGTACTTGTTCTCACGCTTGACCTTCTGTACCGTACTAGTCATGACTTCCCACTAGAACCATAGATAACTACCTACCTGAATAGGGCCAGTCGCTAGTGAGCACCTCATTGATATTCAAGTATTAGTTTTTAGGGATTTGATTGATTGGTTGCAGGATTTCATCATGAGCTGATATTGTTTAGAGAATCATTGAGCAACCTGGGAGTAGTGTACTGCTTGGAACCCAAGGTAACAATAACATCTTCAATTTCTGAGATGACATATCTGTGAACCGGACTTTTCAGAGCCGGACTATGAATCATTTTCAGTGTGTTCCTATAAGAACATAAAGACGGTGCACCCATCAAGTGTACGGATTGTTGCTGATTAAAGATGAACTGACTGGTTTCAACGTAGAACTTTACACTGATCCACAGCAGTTTGAGTTGCCATACTTTATTCAGCACACAAAGACAGAGAAGAAAGCAAAAAACGCAAAATAGAGACAGTAAACAGAGATACGAAGCGAAAGGTATAGTAATTGGATATTATAAGTCACAAGGAGTGGATGCATCTGAGCCAGCCATTGAGAACGATTTTGAGCCATATCACCAATTGTCTCCGGACATTGTTGTTCACTGTCCCGAGGACCCCAACCAGGAAGCCAGTCACCAGCTTCCTACGTGGCTTAAACTAACTGTTGTGGATTTCACTGACTGGTGCTATGTTTTGGTTTGACCGCCACAAGTTAGCTCTTTTCCAGCCTGACCCTGTGTCAGCTGACATTGGCCGTCGAGGATTTTGATGCCTAGGCATACGTATCACATGTCCTAACCATCTCGATATATGTAATTTAACAACCTCGTCAGTCGATTTCTTCTCCTTTCTTAGCACTCGAGTGAAGCCTAAACTCAATATCGCTCACCTCATAATGCTAACTGACATCGTAGATAGAA